CACGGCAAACTAAGCGGCAAAATTCGAGGTGATTTACGACTCTAGCGTCTATCATTGGGGCACAAGATCAAAGTAGGATAGATTGGTAGCATCAGCTGGCCCTACTTATCCAATCTACTCAAAACCTCATCAAACAAATGAAAGGCGCCAGAGTCGTTTAAATTAAAACGAATAACGCCACGCGGATTGCTGCACCCGTACAGAGTTGGGCGAATGCGCCCATATACGGGTGAGCAGGGCGACGTCCTTCTTCAAAATTCCCACATTCGCTTAACCGCATGCGGCAAATTTTTTTTAGTAGTTTCCCCGCTTTTAACTGCAATTACTGTATTTTGCCGGCCTTCCAGCTAATCGACAATCTTTTTCGTTGCCTGTTTTGCTTTTCTGGCTTGTTTTGATAATTTTTTTGTTTCCTTTTCATTCTTCGGTCTCGTGACTGGTCAACAACGCTTCATGGAAAACCAGGTCGTTCAAAAACAAAGAAACCAATATCCAGCTATCCGTCGTATATCTGATAACACATTGCGCGCTCCAATCAACCATAACATTGCTGCATTTCGAGACGGGTGCGGCGAGCGCGACGCGATTACTGGGAAGAGGTACCCGCCACCGCAAGAAGAGAGTGGGGGAACGAAGCACGGGTTTTGAATTTAATTGAGAAAGCTGCACAAACGTGAAACGGTGCTAAGTGGGTTTTAAGGGGGGAGGGGGGCACGCGGCGCGGCACCCTGCGCTCTCTCCAGTGAGATAGTAGTGGGCCTGAGTCTGGGAAGGAGTGGTCAAGTTGTACTGATGTGTTTCGTGATTCAGAACAAACTAACTCTTGGCATATGTTAACATGCTTGCACATTATGGATACCCTTCTTCTAAGCCGATAACCTATTTTTTTAGGAAGGGGAGGGGCTCAGGGGTGGGTGAGATGGTTATCTCGTGAAAAAAGAGATGAGATAAAAATTGAACGTCCAATTGGCTCATCCACCCCGGAGCCCCTCCCCTTCCTAAAATTAGGTGAAAAAAACACAGTTATAACATAAAAAAGCTATGAAAAGTCCCTAAACACCGTTACGGGCTCGACTACCCTTCCTTCTCTACTATATCGCTGGAGAGAGCGCAGAGTGCCGCGCCGCCTGCCGCGTCGCGTGCCCCCTCCCCCCCACAACCTACTTAGCATCCGTGAAACTCCAAAGATGGCTAGTTTCGAGGTTGTAAAGGGAATAGCCAAAACCTTATAAATCCATATTGTCCCTTTGTGTATTTCTCGGACCATCTTAATCCTCCCGAAAACATGACAGTTCACAACGTCCCTATCACAAGCCCCAGCCTTTCCTCTACTATTAACTTTGGATCACAACTAGGGTTTTTTGCACCCTTCCATACGTACCGAGCATCCGGGTCATCGATGTGACGTTGTACCTTTATGAACATAAACAACAATATGAACGCTAACAACAATAATAAATAACAATAAAACGCGAGTGAATGTATATGCCAAATGAACGCTGGGCACGCCGCGCCACTACGCTCCCCGCACGCCGAAATCGATAACATTCTCGTCTGAACCCTCTCACCGAGAGGGTTTTCGCTGAATTACTAGGGTGTGTGGGGCTTCCTTCGATGCAATGAAAGACAAGACTGAAAGTTTACTTATACTAATAATAGTAGAAATGGCTAATACTGATCAGTAACCAAAAATACTAATTGTTTATGATGTAAGGTTACCTTGAAAAAACCCTCATCTCGAAAGCCACTAAAAGTTATCTCTATGAGAGGGCGCAGAAGAGCAGATACGGGACCCATCCGGCTAGGTCGGCGTTGCTGCATAGTCGCTAAGGCAACTCTGACCGCAATTCTCGACTATGACATATAGCCCTTATGGGAGAGCAAAAATATCATTTCTGAAAATACCTTCGGGACCTATNGGGACTCATCCGGCTAGGTCGGCGTTGCTGCATAGTCGCTAAGGCAACTCTGACCGCAATTCTCGACTATGCTGGGAGAGCAAAAATATCATTTCTGAAAATACCTTCGGGACCTATTATCTTCAAAGCTAAAGGTGGCGATTGATCAAGTAAATCGATTCCTAGGGAAGTATGGGCGGCAGCGGTTCCCTGTTTATCACCCTTTCCACCTTTTTCCTGTTCACTATTAAATTACCGGTCAACCGTGATTTTCAAGAATGATCTCAGCTCTACGTATTTCAGGCAGCAATACAGAATGAGCTTCATTCAACAGCGAGTTATGGAAGAACATGCAAAAGCACTCAGACGAGCTGCAATGTTCGGCGTCGGACTTTGGTGAGAGAATTGTTTTTTTTAAGGAAAGATAGCAAAGTGTCCAGCTCCATCAGATGCTCCAGCGTGCGCCATGCGGCCGACTTTCATATTCAATTGCTAACGCATTCAATCGAATTACCATCTCCATAATAATTATACATATGGTTATCAGCCGATCACCTCTGAGTCTGCCTCATTTTCTCAGGTAAATTCGATCCCAATCTGCGTTGAGTCCATAGTTCCTGAAAAAGCAAAGTCAGTTGCACGCCAAGCATTCAAAAACAGTCTGCGCCATGCACACTGCAGCTTTTTTCCCCGACAGTTTTTGGTTTCTTCAAGTTACAACATTACAAATTGTATAGTATCATATTACAGTGCTTTTGCTGCAATCTCAAGTGCCCTGGTCATTCCAACGCTTTACAGCTATTTGCAATATATCCATAGTCACGTCCAGGACGAGGTTTGAAAAACATCTAATTGATTTTCAAAAGTTTCCTTTATTACGATGACTTCCCAATTATTGATTGACAACTTTTACAGGCGGCCTACTGTAAACAACGAATTGATAGTCTTCATGAATTGTACGAGATGCTCGATATACATCCTCGGCATAGTTTGAGAAGAAGGAGTATCGCTGAAAAATGTGAGATTGATTTGGAGTTCTCTGTTTCGATTACCGAATCAAACAAATACCAGACCAATATGGGGCAAAGAGTAGCTGAGCTTCTCCCCGAATTCCCACGGCCTGCGGCAGTGGTTCCGCGGCGACTCTCCGTATTCTTCTATTAGGAATTCAAATCTTCCCCTTCATAGCGCGCGATCGCGTGCGGCGAGCCCGAGACGCTGTTCGGGGAGAAGATGCCAGGCCCTGGGCATAATGGGTTCCGGCACTTCTGCTGAGAGGGGTCCAAGTCTGTATCGATTGCTCGGTATCCAACATGCATAGCAAGTAAATAGTACAGCGTGCGGTAAAAGTTCTGGCAACGGTAAATATGGTCGTAAAAATGGTCAAATCGATCGATATATGATACAACTCCAACAGCAATGATCAACAGCTGTATAGATCACAAAAACAAACTAGAACTCGAAATAGCCTCCTTTTGCGCGAATACAGGCTGAAAGTCTCCTAGGAAAGCGTCAACGGCGGCACGGAGGTAGTCTTCGTCCAAATCCTCCCATGCTTCGACAAGGGTTGCACGTAGAGCATCCAAACTTCTATGCTTAGTAGAGCAGGCTTTCGTTTCAAAAATTGACCACACGGAATAGTCCAATGGATTCAGGCCTGGATTGTTTGGGGGCCAATCGTCTGACGAGTTGCTATCCACCTTGACCCCTTTATCCAAGAAACTCAGGGGCATCTTGCCATCCGATGTGATTGCCCCAAAAACGATCAACGACTTGTGGTGTATAGATCGCTGAGCAATCCCTCCATGTTGGCTGGCTTCTGCAGGGTTTCCCGCTATCACCCCATCGTTTTGTGTGTTCAGGAATTGATCTGTTGAAAACAGACATTCGTCAGTGAAAAGGATGTTGCTGTGCCGTGCCTGCGAAAATCGCTTTAAAAGCTCCTTAGATCTTTTGAGCCTAGTTTTTTTCATACGCATGTGAGCTTTCTGATCTTATAAGAGCAAGGTCGAAAGTGGCTGGTGACAATCCTTCCAACAGATCGAGCAGAAATACCCACCCCAAGAGCCAATTTTCTCTCGGACCTACGAGGGTGGCGGCGGATTTTCTCTCGAGCGATTTTCACGATCTCTTTTGTCGTCGCTCTCTTCAGTCTTCCACTTTTGGGCTTGTCGTCCATAGTTTCTGTCGCCTTGTACCTGTTGACGTTGTTGTACACGGTGCTTAAGGGAATCTGGGGGCTGCTTGAAGATGGTCTTTACCGTGCATTCGCCAAATGGAGGTGCAGGATGGAGGCTCGTTGGTCTTTGCTTGTCACCATTTTGTGAAGTGGCATATTCAAGAACGGCCAATTCATGGAATGTATGGAAGAGGACTTTTAGTAAATAATGGCACAGATCCTGTCGAGATCGAAGGCCTTATTTTTTATAAAGAACCTGAAACGGGCCTTTGCCAGAACTTTTGCTGCACCCTGTAGAAAGACTGACTTCATAAAGGCCCACTCGCTGTGCACAGGTTGGTCTTTAAGCTAGTTATCAGTGAACGGTAAATAGCTCTTTTTTGAACAGAATAATCTCCAGCAAAATACGAAAAAGTCGTGCTTTCCCATAGCGATAGCTCCGGGTCGATCACCGCAAGTAGAGGTATTGGTAAAGCAGACGTCTGGACGCCACCGAGCCACTTAACGAATTCAAATGCTAGAGAACTATGTTTTGTTCATTTTGCTCCATCCAACAGCTGGACACTTCTTCAGACTCTTCCCATGTATACTGCCCATGTAATAGTGGACGTGCAGGCCCACCTGGGCCACCAGGAGAACCTGGAAAAGACGGGAAAGATGGCGAGCCAGGCCCACCAGGCAAGGTAGCTGAGTGGAAATTTTGAAATGCTTTTATTTTTTTAACAACGTGATTCAACAGTTTTCAGGATGGTTTCGATCCCCCTGAGGATGGTCGTTTTGATTACTGTATGGAATGTCCACCGGGACCTCGAGGACCACCAGGAGATGTCGGCCCCAAGGGTCCACGAGGGCCTCCGGGTCCTGATGGGATGCCTGGATTACATGGACGTCCTGGACAACCAGGCAGTCCTGGACCACAGGGTAGACCAGGAATGGATGGAGAACCAGGAGCGCCTGGAGAACCTGGGAGACCTGGAGAGTATTTGGTAAGTACTTAGCAGTACTGGTCGCGAAAACTCAACCTAGGTAATCTGAAATCTGGATAGATGCAGTTCAGACGCATCTCCTGCTTTGCTTTTTCTAGGATGTTCATGTACCTATGGGCCTTGCTGGACCTCGTGGCGTACCGGGACCTGATGGGCTTCCAGGTCCCCCTGGAAGACCAGGCCAACCTGGTGAGTTTTCGTCCCTATTTTGAGCAGATTCCATGAAAAACATACGTAGGGAACATAATAATAGAAGGGCACATGAGCTCATCGAATGGGTTCGAAGGCAAGTCCGTTAGGGCGACAACGAGGACTTCATCTAATATGAGCTCTATTTAGAGCTTCCTTCTCAGTCCCCTTGAAAATTCGGTAACCTCGAGTTTGCAGAAACCAATTAGTTAACTACAACTCCATGAAGTCTGAAGCTTCTATATGCAAAGCTAATGAACAAATTGCAGGTCTTCCTGGTCCACCCGGTCCGCCAGGAGACAAAGGTCTCCACGGATTGCCCGGAAATGACGGCCAGCAGGGCTTGCCTGGCCCAAGAGGAGCACGGGGCCCTAAAGGCAGCTGTCATCACTGTCATATCATGAAATCTCCGATAGATTTTGGAAGAAATTAAATAAAGAAATTTTGACCCGAGTTGCTTGTTATCTTTTTCGGGATTTTGGTCATATTATTTCATAGGATACCGTCAAATACCCGTCATTCTGGAGTATTGCACTGTTCTGTCTCAACTACTGGCTAAAATATCTACCGCGACTGTGAGGACCACCATAATATTACATTAGTCCCAAGGGACCTCGTGAGCCTACAGATCCTGACGAAATCTCTGGATTAAACGGGCGTTGCTAATTTCAACAGTCTAGTTGGAAGCTCGGTATATTTGGAATCATAAAATTCAGGGGAACACCATTTGGATTTCGAACGTCTAGATCGTCACCTGGATAGTTTCCAAGATTAAATTCTATTGCAATATGTTCGTTATAGCAATCTTCCCCGCACGGAAAAACCAAAACTTCAAGTATAATAGAAAGAGCATTCACACAAGGCCCACAGCACCTTTAATTATTGCATCCTTTAACACAATCAATCTATCAGAACTGTTCAGGAGCACCTGAGGGAATCGTCAGCTGAAAAATCAAAAAAAAAACTGTAGAAAAACCCGAAATCCACAGTTCGGACTTTAATGATTCCAAAAGAGAAATGACATTGATNACCTGTTTTTCACGTCTTCTCGTCATCCATCTATTGAATACCGAAGTTGTTCTGATCAATGTATCGCTTCATTGGCTTTAAATAGAAAAACCGAAGAATTCTCGACACGTCCCGTTTCCTTTTTTCCTCTTCTCCTTTTACGCCTATCACCATTATTTGATTATCGAGGAGCGGATTGAAATTTAACGCCCTGCACTCAGTTCCACATCGGGAACCGTAATTGAATGTTGCTTCACAAACTGAACTCAATATTCAGACTTCTCATGGATGTTCTTCAAAAAGTCCTCCCCTTCAATCCAATAAATCGGGATCGTCTCGAAAAAATGTAGTGGGTATGCTGGAGGGGGGAAGGAGGAGGAGGGAGAGTAGAGGACAGCACCGCGGTGGGAAAGTATCGACATGGTTGAGATGATCAATTCGAACAGAAAGTTGGGTTAGGTCTATATTTCAACTCCAATTGCCCTTCCCATCTCGTCGCTCCTTCCTCCTGCGCCTGAGTTCAAAAATAATCATGATTTTTAGCCAAGGAAGGTTTCTATGCACCATTACGGTCTCGCGAACTCGACTATCCCTTCTTCTCTGCGCTGTAGTGCTCAATGATGGAAAAGGGCTTTCCCATATCTCAATATCAATACTTAATTTATCTTTAGTACCTTCATATTTTATGAAAATAATTAAAGTTTTTTTTATCTTTTTTTCGTATTTTAATTTACCATGAAAGTTCCGAAGAATTTCGACTTTTTTGATCCCGTAACTTTTAATTAATCCTGCCTTATAAAAACAAATCGAAAAAGTCGATGGAACGGAGTGTCGAAGACTTACATAAAATAGGGACCCAGGACCTCGTTTTTGAACCTTTTCTCCAACTTCAGAAGGATTCAGCTTATGAAGATTATCAGGGTAGCGGAGTATCCTTTCGAGCAGCCATACCACAAGAGCAATTTCGTTATGGGACAGCCTATCTACTTGACGAGTTGGCTTTTTCCTTTTTCGCCATAAACCGTATCTAGAGGCTTGAACATGCGAAGAAGTAGAGTAAGAACTAATACTCCGTCATTTATATTGCCCAANGAAAAATTTCACTGGAATCCTCTTTATCTTCTGAACATCACAACCAGAGCCACTGTTGCCATCGATGTCATCTCATCTATTAAATCTGTCTGACAGTCTTTTTCTTGGAATTTTTTCTGAGCAATGCTAAGAAATGTCATCATCATGAACCCGGAGTAGTTCGTACATTTTAGTTCCTCATTTGTTCGAACATGCACCTGATTGCGTCAGATTATCTGGGACATTTCCTTGAGTTCCATATAAAGCTAATCATCCAAGCAGAAGGTGTCGTCATGCCATGCTTCAGGGGGTTCCAGAGGTTGTTCCCAACTGGATACGTTTAACAATCAAATGTAGGAACGAATTCGGTGACTTTAAATTGCTTTCTCTCTGAGACAAAATCATCTACTCATTTCCTGGAGAGCATTTCGAGAGAACTTCCGGTTTTTTCTGATCACTAATTTCTTGGCGAAGGAGGCATTCAGGGTACTAGCAGCCCCCCGCTACCTCACCACGTGTCCGCATGAATACGCATTCAGACGAACAGAAGACATAAATTGAATCAGCTCAGGAGAAGCATGAAGCCCATCCACCGGAACTACATGCTTCTTTGGGCAAAAACCTTATGTTGCTTGTTGCTTGTCGGATCGACCCCGTATCCCTGAAGCCCCTCTACATAGACTCACCACCAACTAGCCAGAGATTCCCCACGGAGAAAGGACTGCTGGCTAGAAAGGTTAGCCCAGTACGTACCGCGTGCTGCGCATGGTGCAGCACGCCCCTCTGTCTCTGCGTGCCCGCGTTTTTAGTCCAAAATCACTCTAGAATTTGAGTGAAGTTCGAACAGTCTATACTTTGCGATTCTTTCATTCTTGAGTCACGTAGCCGGGTCGATTTTGCAGAAGGCGCCGGGCACACCGTCAGCCATGGCAAAAACACTACGGTACGCAATGGGTGAATGGCCTAAACATGGTAATAGAAAAAAAATGTGCCTATTTGGCATGTTATTGTCACTTACTGAGTCCCTGTCAGATGAAATGAAGCTATTTTTCGACAATGTGTCTAGTTGCTGTCTTTTTAAACACTGTCAAGTGATTTGGTTCCTTTACCCTCCTTTTTTTCAAAAAGGGATGTTTTCACGTGATGCTCAAAGTTCTCCAAACGTTTTTCAGAGGCCTTCTCTGATATTATCCAGACTCATAGGATCTTCTACTCATTCCGATGGAAGTTAGCTGATCAAGTGACGTAAAGCCTGGCATTTCTTCAGGATATGAGGATAACCAGTCGAGAAAACAAAATGTTGCTGATTAAACGTTTGAACGAAAAGTTTATTTCATATGAATGCGTAGGAGAGTTTGTTATGACAGTTGTTTGTTCAGCTCTGTCTGGGGAATAGGAAGAACTTAAGGAAATAATTTATTGAAGTAAACAATTATCATTAGTCATAGTGTGGAGAATTCTTTACTGTGGGTGGTACTGAATTATTTCTCCTCTATATCCTTTTGCCTTCCTTCCTCACCCGATAGTCTGCAGCAATTCATATACAAATGCGCTCATTCGATCAATTAGAACTTATCAATAGG